GTACTGAGTTGAAAAGTGAGTGCTGCGTCAGGAGTCCTCGTTTGATCTCATGAATCAGTACCTATCAAAACAGACGTGTTTTCATTTTCTCTGCTAAACTCGGCATCAATAACGATTTGTGTTAATGTTGCTGACGTTGCTGGGGTTGCAACGGAATTGAGAGAACTCAGAGAAACTGAGGTGCTATTACATACTTGAACCCTCGACCCCTTTGTCGGCGAAACACATTCGAGGTACAGCATCTTTGTGTGGAGCACATAGGGGGTACTTTTTGGCTGGGGAGCGGGGGTCGTATTTGGTCATTGTTGGGAGGGGTGGGGGACGTATGTGCTTCAACAGAAATTTGCCGTGCTTGGGAAAAAATTCTCCCGGTTGTTGACTTTTCGTGATTTTTCGCGTGATTTTTCCTGTTTCATGTGTACTATGTATATATCTCCGCCCCACCCCCTCCTCCACCTCCGCTCGACGGAAAATTTTTGGGTGAAAAACTGGAAAATGTGGGAAATTGGTAGGTAGGTGCTGGGGTAGAGAGGGAGTCGTACCGAGACCTTCCCCAGGTGAGGGGGGACGGGCTTCCTCTAGAGGGGGGGGGGTGGGTCGTACCTACACCGCCATTTCACATTTCGCGATGCTGTACCCTGACCACTCTTGCATCGGTACTGCTGGCAGGAGTGACGCTTTGGATATCCTTTCGCACGTCTTCTTCCATTTCTGGCACTGTTCCATTTTTTCATTTCATCCTGAAAGATTAAAAGTCGAATCGAAACGTTGGTAAAGGCTGCATTTCTCAGTTCACTTGTTTACTATAACTGAGAGTTGTTCCTCTCACAAACGTATTTTTTATTTTGTATTTTTTCCAGTTAATTTTTGTTTTCGCTCAATTCGTCCGTGCTATTTTTGGCTTTTTTTCTGTACTGTGAGGGAATGACCGTGTCTATCAGTCGTACCTCTGCAGGAAACTAGAAGTCTGCGCTTCATGACTGATCACTCAACATTAGACGGGGACAGACAGCCAACCAAATTTCCATGGATCCCTGATTTTTCCCATAGTGATCACTCACGATTTGGACTACCGGCTGATCGGTGACTTCTCAGTATACGCCACGTATCCGTCTGAAGCTCGGTAGCACTTGAATGCGATTCGGACTATTCACTAAAATGCAGACCCTACAGAGTACCAGTCGCTGTACTTATCCTCCAGTGTGGCTCTAATGTCTGCTCGTCGATCCATGAGAATGGACCTTTTCGTCGCTGCTAGGCAGTTTGATCCAGAACATCAACTCAAGCAATGTAAAAGGTGGTGTCACTTGCCACTAAACTATGTCCGAAATTCGACATCGATACCCTCAAGAATTCACTCGCAATACGCCTTCTCAGCATCACTTCAATGGCGCTGTTGCCATGGTGCCGTCCGTCCTTCGACCAACTTGAGCCCGCTCGACCGGCAAAAGCGGCACGCAGAGCCCAGACGTTCCCTATCTTTCCATTTCGTCCCATACTTCCATTCCTATCGTCTTTAAATGGGACTTCTAGACATCATCAAATCTTTCAAATCGAATAGTGGACGCGAAATCCGAATTCTACTACTGGGACTCGATAACGCTGGCAAAACTAGTATTCTAAAGCAGCTTTCGGCTGAAGAAATCACAAACGTCACACCAACTCGTGGATTCAACGTGAAGAGCGTAGTCACCAATGGCGACATCCGGCTCAACGTCTGGGATATTGGCGGACAACGATCAATACGACCGTTTTGGAGTAATTACTTTGAAAATACTGATGCGCTCATCTATGTTAATTGATTCAAGTGATCGACGACGTTTCGATGAGACCAGCGTGGAGCTGATGGAACTACTGGATGAGGAGAAACTGAGGTATGTGGTCTTTTTCAGTCTCATTTCTTTGGTTGTCCCTGCCACCCAATCGTAGCCTACAGTAATCGGGTTGTAGTGGGCTCTGGGGATGTGGACTCTCTTTTGGTGTTGAGTTTCAGAGCTTAGCAACGACTAGAAAAATCCCTGCAGACTATTGATTGCCCAAAATTTGCTTCCGCTGATGCTTAGCCCTGATAATATCCCATTCCATGCATATAAGAGAGTATCGCATGCTCCCCTTCGAGCGTTCAAGGCCCGACCTATGAGAAGGAATCTCGCACCCTATACGAACCCTACCGTATAGGGTATGCTTCTCCAACATCTTCTCCAACGACAAGGTTATCTCTGCATCACAAAATCGGGCTAGCGCGTAACGCGAACGTTACTACTTCAGACGACTCGCTTTTGAGCTACACCTAACTCTTTCCTATCCCACGTTCACAAGTGTTTTGGGCTGAACTCACTTAATTTCCAATCCCTATAGCTAGATTTATAATGTGATTCCAGCGTCCCGTGTATGCTCTAGGACAATTATCTCATGGCGACTATGAAAAGTTGATCGGACTGCCTGCCACATTCATTTCCTGCTTTTGGGTAATAGGCCATTTTCGCCATGATGCGAAGGACGATTCTGAGGTATCGTTAACGTCGCGTGTGGGCAGTGTGGCGAAACGGGTACATATGGCACGCTGAAGGTGGGGACGGGCAAGGAAATCGTGCCGCGGGTATCTTGGGATTTGCGGCAGTGACGTTGTGTCGCTAATGTGTAGCTGGTATCGTGAACTACGGGTAGCCCAGAGTATACCTGGATATGGTAGGCGTCACTGACCAGCTCGCCGCGCAGCTCGCCGTGGGCTACTGCGACCTTTTAAACGGACACCCATTTCTTTTCTTGTTGCTCTTCTCCCATGGGACTTGCTTAGTGTATAAACACTTGATGGCGCATTCCTGTAAGGGGAGGCTTCTCAGTGCCTAGTAACCTAGGGATTTAAACACACATTCAATTACTAGTCGGAGGGATCCTTTGCTTGTGCAGTTAGTACTTTCCGCGCTCCCAGGAACTCTCCCTTTGTTGCTTTCCAGGGAGTGACGAAGGCCCTGCGGCCATCGCAAGCCCTCCCACGAAGGGTATGAAAATGATCCTCATTTCACGACCCGTCCAGCTTCCACTTTCTCCGCTATCCCGAGGCCCCTACTTTAGCCCGCTAAAGGAGAGGTTTACACCGCAGCCATGTTAGCAGGCATGCCGTTGGATACCGCAGGATTCCGTTTCCTTCTCTTTCGTAATCCTTCGAAATGGATGTTGTTGGATGGTTTCTACACCACAGGGACAAATATGAGCAAATCGTCGCAAACCACTGACTTGCAAAAACAGGGTGTGGTACTTGATATTCTCGTCCTTAAAATTAATTTCACGCTACTTTCGAGTTTCGTGACGGCTTGACATAACCGTGATTTACACCTTCGTTATCTTCCTCCGATTACCCAACTGATGGTGAGTCGCAGGCCGCTACGTGGCACCCACATTTTTGACCCTTACCCGTACACACGTCCATAGTTCGTTTCTAGACACACCCCACGCTGGTGGTATAGGCGGAGTCAGGCTTTCCTCACTCGTGTGCCCGTCTTGTTCTCCATCCTACATTTAACATCGTTGCAGCCACTCCGGGCAGTGTCAGGGGCATGAAAATCTGATCACTATTGGTGAAAACGCAGCCATGGGCCCATTCTACACCCCCCTGAACAGCCTGCTGCGACAGTATCTGTATTCTACCCAAAAGAGGTGTATTAAAGGAAAGCACACGCGCAAGGTATGACTCCACCCGTTGAATCAACGTGGACTGTGGCATTTGAGGCATGGAGAGTAGTAGCATTTTCCTGTCTCCCCTCTATGATCTAAAAACTGCTTTGATTGCGATTTCAATCCGTATTTCAGCCGTGTGCCAGTGTTGATATTCGCCAACAAGCAAGATTTGGTATCGTCTGCTCCGGCGTCAGAAATTTCAAAGCGTTTGAAGCTGACCGAGATTCGTGATCGAGTCTGGCAAATCCAAGGATGCTCAGCGCTCACTAATGAAGGTGTCTCCGAAGGAATCAAATGGGTCGCCGAAACAATCAAATCTAAATAAATTGTAGTCATTTATAGCGAATAAATAAATTTTCAACTTTTTTTTGGTTCTGTTTTCCCGCAGCTGTAAACCTGTACTCAACACAGCTCTGTATGATGCGAACTGTTTTTGCAAATATCAATTGGGTATGCTCTTCTAATTTTCTTTAACCTTTTTGTAATTTTTTATTATTTTTCTACGATATTCTTGTATTTCAGACTCTGACAGTTCTCATGCCAAGTGATCTGAGAGAAGTTCAAGGAAGAAGTTGAAAAAGGTAGGTGTCTAGTTTCCGTGCTTTCTGTGAAGTGATCTAAAAAATGGCCGAGTTTGTACTGCAGTGGGGGGGAGGTGATCGTTAGAACTTTCGCTAGCACGCTGTCTGCATTCTATCCCAGGATTAGCTTATTTCTTTCCAGTATAAAACAAATTAATATTATC